GCTGCGTGAAGCCCCGCCCACTGTGAGAGGCTCCGCCCACTTTGAAGAAGCCCCGCCCACTTTTCAAAAATGGTGCAAATCGGCAGTATAGAGCCTTGGCTTGCATGCTAGGGTATTGCTGATCATTCGGAATAAACTTTGCCGGATTTTCTTGTTCCGAGTGACGACGAGACCCTAGCATGCAAGCCAAGTCTCTATACTGCCGATCTGCACCATTTTTGAAAAGTGGGCGGGGCTTCTTCAAAGTGGGCGGAGCCTCTCACAGTGGGCGGGGCTTCACGGAGCAGTCCAAAAATGCAAAAATTTTGAAAAAATATCAAAATTCCGCAAAAAGCAAGTGGGCGTGGCCAAGGGGCGGAGCCTGAATTGCCGGAGCATGAATGCGCGGTTACGAGTATCTTCGCTGTGCAAAGAGTGGATGTGAAATAAAGTTGAAAAAGTTATGAAATTTCGAAGTTTGCAACAAACCTTTAAAGACTGGGCGGAGTCGGCCATGTGTTGAAAATCTATGTCCGCGCTGACAAGTAGGCGTGACCGTCGGGCAGGGTTCGCAGTGGTGTCTGGCGTGATCTGGTAACACGCCCCATCTCTTGCAGAGACGCTGACTGTTAATTAACTAAATGTATTTTGAGACACTACGCCCAAAGGGAACTGCTGGAGTTATGATACGAATTCGGTCACAGCTCAGAGATTCGTTTTGTCCGAACAACGATTTTTTCCACAATCCACGGGCGAGTTTACCACTCTCCTCACCTCCATTCTCCTTGCCGTCAAGGTAATTTTTTACGCTTCTCATATCGATTTTTTATTCGCCCTTTCTGAAATGGTGAAGAAAAGGCTGCTTAAGAAGTAGAAGCGATATATGCTGCAAAGAGCATTTGCGTATCGAATCATGTTTCCTTTCAAACATTGACAGTAAATACCGATAGCGTACAAAGCCCTTTTAATGGCTGGTGAGGATCAAGTATTAGGTTGTCCGGAAAGTTCTCAGCGTTTTGTGCACCTATTTTTTGTACATTCACTGCTGATTAAAAACTCATTCTGCCTTGCTTCTCAGTAGCACATCCTGTAGAGAATTTCTTGCGCTATCTGATGGTATAATTGCCGTTTCACCATTGCTTGATAAACCCCCTTTTTTCAAGATTTTTTCAAGCATGTGAAAAGAGCACTTCGGACGATTTTTTTCTTCGACTATAAATTGGGGCAATCCGCAATCGAAACAGCTCAACAAATTAACCAGGTGTGGGGGCCCAATAGTGCTAGAGAAAGCACTGTGCGGCAATGGCTCAACAAATTTCGTTCTGGAGATTTCAGCCTTGAAGATGAACCTCATAGCGGTCGACCTAAAGCAATATCTGACGAGGATTTTAGGGGGATTTTGGAGGCTGACCCATCCCAAACAGTTCGTGATAGCATCAAACAGTTGAGAGATATAGCAGAAGAGCTAGCTAGGCAAATCCACTGTTGCAGATGGTCTGGAACGCATTGGGAAGGTTAAAAGAAAATCGACAATTGGGTGCCCCACAATCGGAGTGACCGGCAGGAATCGGCACGTCTCGAGGTTCCTTCTGCATTGCTTTTGCGCGGAAGAAAACGACACTGTTTTTGGACGGATTGTCACCTGGTGACAAAATGAGTCATTAGTATAATAACAGAACGTTCCGGACAGTGGTTGGATTTCGACGAACCACCGAGGTAATTTTCAAAGCCGAACCCTCACAAAAAAGATTCTGGTCACGGCTTGGTGTCATGGCTATGTGATCCGAACTCTAACTTTTATCACGCAGGCCAGAAACCATCCAGCAGAACCTATACTGTGAAGAAATCGACGAATTGTACCGAAAATTTTGTCAGATGCAGCCAACACTTATCAAAAGAAAGGGTCCGATTCCTTTGCATGACAACGCCCGCCCACGTTTCACAAATCACTATCCATAAATTGAATCAAATGGGGTTGAAGTTCTACCTCAACCGCCATATTCTTCAGACCATGTTTCGCCAAACCGCCTCACTTTTCTAACATTTTTTCAGATTTCAACTCGCTGAAAATACTTCATAATAGGACAGGCAAAATAGCTTTCGTAGAATATTGTGAACTCTCGACCAGTCCGGTTTTGTTTATCTTTGATGGGATTTCTCGACTGCTCTCATTGCAAAAGTGTGCTGATTCGAACGGTGCTTGTTTCGATTGAATCCTATGAGTATTAAAAAAGTTACGATCGTTTGAAGTGAAACACCCAAAACGCTGAGAACTTTCCGGACAACCTAATATAATGCCCTATTCTAAATCGATGTCATGGCTTTTACTTGAAGCCATTCGTACGGGTAAGTACTTGAAGGCTGTGCAAGAATGATGGTCTGTACCCGTGGAATCGTATTCACTATTGCGGCTTGAAAGTGAGGTGATGATTGGTAAGGTTGTGGTAGTATTCACGCAGTCATTTGCGCGGCAGCGCTTTTGTAGCGGTATTTGATCGTTGCCTGAAGTTGGACCTTGTAATAATAACAAAAGCTGACAGAGATGCAACTGCTCTAGATATTGATTGCAAGAGCTAGAGCAGTGTGCCAGAGCTCTTTATTAGATTAAATTTATGCTGATCCTCTCGCTTCTTTTGAGAACGTCTAATTAGTGGCAAGTACCATAGAAAACCGAAAAAAACAATCCGAAAACAGACTGCCTCTACAGATGATCTGAATCCTTTTGTATAAGCAAGGCGGCACACTGGTTTTGGGGTCGAATAAGTCGGCTTCTCTATAGCATGCAAGTACACTCGATATCGGAAGCGGGGGTGTAGCGTGTTGGCGACTTTTCTTTGGAAAAGGCGCGACTGCGATAATTGATCATGGACATTGACTTAATATTTCAATCTACCCTTGCCACGTGCAAAGATAGTATGACAGTTGTCTCAAATGAAAATATATCATCTAAACACATGCAACGCCAAGTTGCAAAAGCACCTGTTTACGAGATATGGAGCATTACGGATCTCGCTTGTATTACATCTTAAGGTCTTCGGAACACGCCTGCGCTAATTCCTCGTGGGTGGGACCAATTAGCAACAATCAGCTGAATACTGATCCCCGATCGCATGGTTCTATTGGGTTGTCCGGAAATGCGTTTTGCGTTTTGAGTGTTTCACTTTAAACGATCATAACTTTCTTAATACTCATCGGATTCAATCGAAACAAGCACGGTTATCAGCACATTTTTTAGGAAAAACTGGGTTGTCGAGAATCTACGAAATCCACGAAGGCTTTTTTGCTTGGTCCTAATTGATGAAGTATTTTCCAGCAAGGAAGTTCTGAAATGTTTTTGAAAGGTGAATAGTCGTAGGGAAGGATTGGAGAATATGGCGGCGAGTTAGATCAACACCCAATTTCGTTCATATTATGAATAAGTGATTTGTGAAACGTGTGGCGGCGTTGCTGGCTAAGAATGGAGGCTCTCGGTCGAAAGGTGCTGCTGCCTGACGCAATTTTCGTACATTTGGATCCGATTTGCTTCCACAGTAAGACTCTGTGTGATGGTTTGGCATGTGACAAAAAGTTACAGTGGATCACACCAGCCGATGGCTACCACACTGTGACCATACCTTTTTATCGTGGAGACTCGGCTTTGGAAATTGCCTCAGGGGTGGCCGAATTAACCACTGTCCGAAACGTCTCCTGTTATCATACATGATCTCCTTTTCATCACACGTGACAATTCGGTCCAAAAGCGGGTCGTTTCTGTTGTGCAAAAGCAGTGAAGAAGAAACCTCGAGACGTGCCAATTTCTGCCGGTCACTCAAATTGTGGGGCACCCACTTGTCGAGTTTTTTCACCTTCCCAATGCTTTTCAGACCATCCGCAACAGTGGATCTGCCAACGCCTAGCTTTTCTGCAATCTCTCGAACTGTTTGGGATGGGTCACCCTCCACAAATGCCTTCAAATCTTCGTCAGGTATTGCTTTAGGTCGACGTACAGAATCATCATTCAAAGGCTGAATATCTCCAAGAATGAAATTTGTCGAACATTGTCTGCACGGTGCTTTGCCACACCAGAGGACCCGCCACTGGTTTACATTTTTCGAGCTGTCTCGCTGCGGACTTGCCACATTTGTAGTTGAAAGAACAATATCGTCCAAAGTTGCTCTTTTGACATGCTTGAAAAACTCTTGAAAAAAGGGGGTCAATCAAGCAATGGTGAAACGGCAATTATACCATCAGATAGCGCAAAGAATTCTCTTCAGGATATACTACTGAGACGCAAGGGATAATGAGTTTTTAATCAGCAATGAATGTACAAAAAAATAGTAAACAAACGCTGAGAACTTCCCAACCTAATACTTAGGCATTGTTCAGACATCGTGACGGCAGCACTTCTGTCGCGTGATATGCCATTCAATGCGCATGCTTTCGACTGCATCGGTAGCGATCGTCTGAACACTGTCTTAGTGAATTGCTTGAACGCCAAAGCTTCGATGGAATTCCGCGATATTCCAAAAGCAGTTCCCAGCAATACGCGGCATCATACTGTTTACTGTTGCTCCCCTTGAATTCATTCACCTCGGAAATTGCGCATCCATCGCTCCTTCGGACCAACTTCCACTTCACGCTTTTGTGCTGAAGACTGTTCAATATTTGTAGGGATGTTCCGAGTCTGATGTTGATTTCACTCAGGTGATTTTAGCACAAGTGGCTGGAACCATTACCAGTTTCATGATTCCAACGTTGTTCATGGTGACAAAGTAGATCTACAGCAGTGTTATTGGATTTTCATTTTCAGGCCATTTCCAATGCTGTCAGGAAAGCCGGCGTGGCTGCTCTTTATGGAATTTCTAGGAAGGCCAATGTACTAGAGGAAGAGGTCACTTATAAATGTCATTGCTTATACAGATCGATAGTTTAAACAACGCATACTGTTCAGATCAAAGACCTGTACGTAATGAGCAAAGACCTGTTCATCAACATGATTACCTCATCGTTCGCATGTAGTGGAATTGTTTCAAAGGAGAACGATGAGGTTAGTAATTTCCTTCCAAGCAGCTGTAATAATATGTGAAGAGAACTAAACTGGAACGAAGTGAATTGGAACGACCCATTGCAAAGCAATTCCGTGTGAACGCAAGACCTCGGGCGCGGCAAGGCGTTAGAATTTACTGCTCCGGTGAGAGAAAAATGAATGCGGTCCGAGATCGCAAATTGGTGGACTGCCGTAAATACTCCAAAAGGATAAAGAAAGATAAGGAAACACAATACCTCAACCAGTAGCACACTTTTCAGAACGTTTCAGAAAATAGATGACATGCCTGCACGATGAGATATAATAAAAACGGAGCACTGAGTGAACGCGGCCCAATTTAGAATTCTGCCGTAGTGGCGGTGCACAGTTTGGCTGTCGAGGGCCCCTGGTCGATGAACACACCTCGAGATTCGCTCGGCGACTATTACTCCTCCCTTTTTACCATCGTCAGTTCCAGCAGTAAGGAAATCTGCTTAGGGGAAGGGATTGCTTTTGAATTATGTGTACGTAACTGCATGTGGCTTCGGAGTATAGTCAGTTAATCCGTATTGCATTGTACCTGCAAGAGTCATCGCGAGGTCAAGAGGCACCGCTCCGAAGCCACATACAATTATATTCACATAATAAGAGCGATTTAATAAAAAGTCCACATTTTGACGTTAAACGGAAGTGCCCACGGACTGTTATGAAATGTAGACAGTTGCTGGTTCAGGCACAGGTAGATACAGCCTATGTATACTTGTGCTGGCGCACACGGCGCGAGAAATACAATGCACACTCCACCCGTCTCTACCTGGTCTGGCAACTGTCTACTGCCGTAAACTCACAACAGTTCCGTACCGGCCCCGTCATCGCCAAGGTGTGGGCTTTAAGTCTCAACAGATAAACAGAAGAGGGAAACCTTGTACTACGTGCTAAATTGATCCCACGAATACGAATGAGGTTATTTAGCGTTACACTCCATCAAATCCTCTTCTCTAGAACTTACTAGTGAGAATGGTTGTGGTTGTATAATTCAGGTAATCATTGCTGATGAGATTAAAAGGGGGAAGTACATAATATCCTTCGATCCGCTCAACGGGTCCTCCCAGATCGACAGCACGGCTCCTATGGGTGAGTTACTCGCTTCCGTAAATACAAATTAGTAGAAGTGAACTGAATCAGTAATGGGTAAACTATTTTCGTGTCTTTATGTTGTTTCTCCTTTTAGGTGTGATTTTCGGAGTCTGGAAGAAACTCACCGATGGAATGACTGCTGCTACGAAAGACGATTTCATGCAACCGGGCAGGTGAGCAAGGCAATTCAATGTATTGCATCATTATTAGTAATGTGATTTTGTACACCTCAGTTCCATGGTGGCTGCTGGCTATTGTATTTATGGTTCATCAACGATGGTAATTCTTTCTACGGGAAGCGGTGTAGACGGTTTCACTCTTGATCCGGTAGGTTTTTCCTTACGTTACTTCACTTCTCTACTCAAAGGCAGTGGGCACAATGGCTGGGGGTTGGGGTAACTTCCAAAGTCATTGGTGGTAGTGCGAGAAGAATTTGACATACCCCGCTCACCCATTTCATTAGTAAGGTTGCTAGCCGCCCGCCGTCAGCGGTCGCACCTACTGCCCTTAAGATTCATGAACGTGAGTGAAGTGAGGGTGGGAAGGAGGAGTAGTGTTTGCCACCTAGGGGAGCATCTGATGGGTAAATCCAGATAACCACCCAATAAACTCCCGATCCGCTGCTCGTATGTAACTTTTATTCGTAAGTAATCGATGCTGAATACATGAGGCATAAAGGAATTTATTGCAGAGCATTGGGGAATTCATACTTACACATCCTAAAATACACCTTCCTAACAAAGGAAAGATCTACAGCATCAATGAGGGAAACGCAAAAAATTGGTCGGCTGGTCTTGCTGCTTACATACATGACAGGAAGTTCCCACCAGTAAGCAGATTTTTCATTTCTAGTGAGAATTCGAAATTGTCCAGTACACTGGAATGATCCCAAGGCCTGTATTGTTCCAGCTGTTCTGTAAACAGTAAAGCATAAAACTGCAGGCTGGCAAGAAAGTGATGACTCAGCGTCACGTCGGATCATTAGTGGCTGACATCCATCGCACACTTTTCTACGGAGGAATAGTTCTCTATCCACCCACGAATGATGCCCCGGACGGAGAGGTGAGGATCGTGTCTTTCATGAGGTCGACTTCCCCCTGGTGCCCACTTAGAGTGCGGCAACACTGTATGCTTTTGGTCAGGCACCGAACTCATCTGCTTGCGTATTTGTTGACAACCCGTGTAGGACAAAATCGTTGTTTCACCTTTCGCGGCAGTCAGTTCGAGAATCAGATGCGAGCAGAATGCTGCTATGTCTTGAATATGCATGATGCCCTGTTGCATGTGTGATTATGTCTTGTTGCTCCGACCTCCTGTTGCGAATGTCTCCAAAGACATATAGGGACAGCGGCCGTTAAAGCATAGTAAGATGCGAAAGGACACGTGCCCAGTCAGGAGACCCCACCTGTGTGTCACTGTGTCACCTGGTGTTGGAGAACCACCTGTCATACAATTGGCATCGTAGCAAATAGTTGGGCCGATTTCAAAAGGGACAAACTGATCCGACCTGCGGCAGTTTCACTGGTTGTTTCCTTCCGAAATCGATCACTAGGCGACTACCATTGGTAAAGCAAGAAGGCGGGGGGTGGGGGCCCCCTACTGATTGCCGTGGCGTGTTACAAACTGTACATGGTTTCCGATCCTGTACTTTAATGGTTGCTCCAGCACTGATTCTGGAGCCGTGGACCCAAGCAATAGTCAACAGCCGTTGTTGTTCTGTGAAGTGGTTGTTGCTTGGTTCACGATTGTAGAGTAAATGCTGGAGCTACCAATAAAAGTAACGTTGCCCACTGTTGTCGTTGAAATCGTTGTTCTTCATGTCATTACATGCCAATCTGCTACAGTCTGGTTCCTAATTGATATATCAGGCTTACGACGTGGCTGACGCCTGAGCGTTGTTCCCTTTGTCTCTCAGAATTAGGTTTCTCCTACTCTTGCAACGAAAGGAAGTTCTGTTCTGGTTTCGAATGCCTTAACAAATCACGAAAAAATTATAAATAAGAGGTCAACCAATATCTTCCAATGGAAGCCTGCAGAAAGTAATCGATTCTTCGTTTGTAGAAACCCTGCTTTAGTAAAGACGACCAGTGACAAGTTTTGCATATTTCCAATGCACTGTAATAATACATTTCCAATGTATTATTACCCGAAACATCAACGCATGGGTGGTGCTTGGAGCTCCGACCTGAAGAATAAGAGTCCACAAGGACACTACTGTTTACTGAACCCTAGCTTTGGTAGATCCCCATTGAATTTCTAGTACTCTTCTTTACGAGTAGCGGTTTCCCGTGGTAGGTGGTAGTCGCTCGAAAGACCTAGTTACCTATTCCTGCAGCTGCGCTTTATCACACAAAAGACTTGTTTCATTTCAGCTAAGTCTCCTGTATGAATGCGCTGCAATGTCTTTCATCATCGAGCAAGCTGGAGGTCTCGCGAAGACGGGAAAGGTGATATGAACCTATGCTTCTTTCTAACAGAGATTCCGTGAAAGCATCAGAGTTTCAGCGTGCGCTACTAGACGTCATTCCCGACAATACTAATCAACGAACGCCTTTCTACGCTGGAAGTAAGGAGGATGTAAAGGAGTTACTCACTTACATCAATAACGAGTAAATTAATGAGAACTTTTCATGCTTAAGTCTCATTAAACAATAAAGGGTTTTTATTACATGGTCATCTTGTGACTTCGCGGCCGAAAAGTGAGCGTTCTTGTTGGAAATCGACCGACCAGACTTCGGAACTCGTATGTCTACATCACAAGTATACCCTTTCAATATACCCTTTCAACGGTAAACCACCTAAGGGGGGGGGGGTAACGCCCACCTTGGGTGGTTGACCGCTATAGTCAACGCGTCCCTCTTTGCTGAGCATTCTACTGAGATTTGGATAGAAGTGGGGAACGATATCAAGACACTGCAGGACTAACTGGCAGGCGTACCCTTTGTGTGTGCAAGATGAGCACGTATGTAGCTATAGAAGGGTAACATTCCAACCATTCGAGATTGTGAGCCAAGTGAGATAAAGGCTTTCGACTGTATTGCTCTTCATTAAGAATACACTTTGTATGGTCGCAGTTAGTCGGGTTGATCCGGGGGGGGGGGTAGGCCGGACCCACGGATAGCATTGCCACCACTGGTTATTTTCTTCCTAACAATAAGTCGATCACTAGCCGATCAATATTGGTAAAGCAAAGCAGCCGAAAACGGCTCATTCTGCCCACCCTACACCGCCCCAGATGGATTAGGATTTTACAAACTGTACGTCTCGATGGACATGCTTCGAAGAAACAATTCTACCAAAATGTTAGTCTGATAAAGTTTGCGAGAAACCAAGCGGAGGTGAAGGGGAGGATGCTCAATGGTTACTTCTCTACATTACGGTCTTCATACCGAGATAATTAAAGATCGATCTGGGTCCGAGCTTCATGAGCGAGCTTCATAGTCGTATGTGGGCGACTTTATAGAATACTGACAGAAACGTGAAGGTTTCGTAATTAACCAGGTCTTCTTTACAGCCTTGTTGAACGAAGCGCCGTGATGAACTGCTTTCCCGCTACTGAGACAGGGCTTTCAGCTCAGTTCTCTTTTAGCAAGGGCTTGAGAAAGACGGTCCACGCACTTGCCGAAAAACCGCTGTGATTCCTTCTTCTGCCGGTGCTTTCTCTCATGGCACTGTCTGTTTTACATGGCGTACTTCTGATGAGAAGATGGGTAGTACTACACTTGATACTCGTCAACTTTTCATCTTGCAGTGGGGAGATCCGACCTCAAAAGAGTGGAACAGAAAGTCGCCAGACATTGCTCCTATTCCAGTATCACAGAACAGCGGGATAAATTCTCAGTTTTGACATGCGAAGTCATCAAGACATGCGCTGCTATCTCTTGTGTGCTTTATCGGAATAAGCAATTGGTGGAGCACGGTTCTGGCAGGGTGCGATTGCCGTTTTCCATTGCAGATGATGGGGCGGACACGCCCCATTCAAATTGGACAAGCCTGTAAACAAGTGCTTAGACTAGCCATGGACCTTCCTAAATCTTATGAACACACCAGTTGGATTGGCCGGCTTCGCAGTGGGTCCCTGAGAGAAATTTTCCATGTGAGGGAAGGGCCAGTCGGATCGATCCTATCGCTTTCCACATTTTCCGCCCTCTGGGCTTGTTTGAAGTACGAACTTTTGAAATTTTTGTAGCAAGCCCCGTCCACCTATAGCCCAATTGGGATGTGCCTTCTTCACTTAATTCGCCAGCTGACTCCCTATCGTTTCCCCCATTTTTCTCTCTCCATGCTCATTTGGAACAGAATTACGAATTTTCAGAGGTTTTATAGCAAGCCCCGCTCACCTATAGCACCCCCACCCAATCAAGGTGTGCCTCGTTCAGCTCATTCGCCATCCGATTTTCTATCATTTCTCACATTTTTCGCTCTCCGGGCTCATTTGGAACTGAATTACGAATTTTTGAAATTTTTGTAGCAAGCCCCGCCCATCTATAGCACGCCCTGCCCAATCAGGGTGTGCCTCCTTCAGTTCATCCGCCAACTGATTCCTTATCGTTCCTCACATTTTCCACTCTCCGGACTTAGAACTGAATTACGAATTTCTGAAATTTTTGTGGCAAGCCGGTCCACCTATAGCCCAATTGGGGTGTGCCTCCTTCAGTTCATCCGCCAACTGATTCCTTATCGTTCCTCACATTTTTCGCTCTCCGGGCTCATTTGGAACTGAATTACGAATTTTTGAAATTTTTGTAGCAAGCCCCGCCCATCTATAGCACGCCCCGCCCAATTAGGGTGTGCCTGGTTCAGTTCATCCTCCAACTGATTCCTTATCGTTCCTCACATTTTCCGCTCTTCAGGCTTATTTGGGAACCGAGTTACGGATTTTCAAAATAAAATTTCACTGGCTAGGGGCACGCCCCGCCCATAGTGGGCGGGGCTTAGCTCAGTTCATGCGTGTTCCGTACATCTTGGCCCATGCCCTACCCATCCCACCCTTGACCCGCCCCCTCCAACTGGCTCTTCAGGTGATTCCGAATTTCCGGACAGACAGACAAACAGACAAACAAACAGACGTTGCCGTTTATATATAGTAGTGATAGTGATTTGCTCGCGTAGACAGGCGTTGCGTCTACTTGCACCATCTTACTACATCTGTGGGAGCCCAAGCATGGCGCATCCAGAAATAAGTAAGGGGAGCTGAACCAACTACTGCTTGTTCCTGTTTCACGAAGGGATGCATTCCTGGATATCCGAATACGCCCATTTGAAACGGTTAGCAGAAAACGGGTTTTTCGAGCAGCTCGGAGTACCCTTCAGAGAATCCAACGCGATTATCTCATGAATCCCGGAAACTTCAGAAACAATTTAAGTGGTTTTTGAGAAGAGGAAATCTCTGAAATTCGACGTTAATTTTGGATTTGCACGGGAATTTGAGCACAACAGTCTATTGGGTGGAGCACAGCACCTGTACGGTGTAGATCCACACAGCCGTTTTCTCTAACAGGAGTTTCCGGAAAGACCTGAGGATCCCTAACTCGCTCAGTTGACACGGCAGTAGTAGAAAATAGTAATCTTGAATTCTTTAGTTTTCACCTGTGTCAAGCCTGGCCCTTATGGCTTTCCACATTGGCTGAAGTACCACATGTATTAGAATACCAGAGTTGCCAACCAAACACCTGTAAGTAGAGAGATCCTGTCTTGTGAACCTACGAAAGGTTTTGGAGTTTCACTCGTACAGAAATTCTTTGGCTGGGTAAGGTTCAGTGCTGGAAGGTGCTCAGAAGCCAGGGGGATCTTTAGCTTGGCACTGGATTCTTCCCATAGGTGTTGGAAGAAAATGCAAATAAAAAGGCGAAAAAACAACAAACCTTGAAGGGGAGGGTTCGTATTGATCCATCTTTTAAAGGAGAGGGTCTATGGGCTCGAACGAAATCCCCAGTCAATGATGTGTTCTTTGCCATGCCCACAGAAGCCGCCATCAACTATATCTCATGAAACTCGAAAAAATTTCCTGGCCATTAGTTCAGCATTTCTGGAGCGTATACAACGTAAGCTCGGAATCATTAAATATTTATGACATTATAAATACATGTCCGTAAATCGAAGCAATGACACATTACGATGAAAACAACAAACATTCAATATTATCAAAACCAAACAGAAAGGCAGGAGATCATGTGGAGCCAAATGACTTTGATAGAATCGTATCTGAAAACAGGTTTTCTTGAAAGGAATCTCAAGAGTTTTCCTAATCTCTCACTTACCTAGTACCCTGAATACTTTGAATTAGAATATAGTACTTTGTTGATGAAGTTTTTTGACGCTCATCGTTCGTCGATGATGCTGTACACAACCGAATGATAGTAAATCGCGGAAGCAACGTCGAAAATCGCCATTATCCATTGTATAGATAATCGGATTCAAGACCTGTAACAATAATAAGAAATCGGAGCTTCAGATCTTCACCAGCTGAAGGAACGGCACCAAGGGAAACTGCACGCACCCGCACCCGGAAATATTAGGTTGTTCGAAAAGTCCTGCGACACTTTGATTGAATATTCTAGAAAAAGACCAAAAATCATTTTGAATGTTTTTATCTCCTGATTAGTGGAGACTGTCTCCTGGGGTTTCTGAAAATGGGTATATCATGGCTCCGTGGAAGTTTTCAAAGCTTAAAAATACCTCAGAGATCGAGGTACTTCTCGACCTATCCCATATTATGAGTTCCTGTAGGGCAACTCCGCCATAGTCGAGGAAGCTAACACTTACGTTGTCTTGAGGAAGGATATCGCTTGCCATAGCAGAGAGTTCCTTTTGCATCAGCGCTTCCAGGCTGGACTTATTCAACTCGGAAGTAGGCAATGTATAGGTCGGCCACCAGCACAGAATGACGGCCCTTTACTCAAGCTTCTTGAGGCGCAGCCGAACGTAACCACCAGTAAGTTGGCAACCTCTCTAGGCTCCACCTAACTGACAACTGCCATGCTTCTCCGCAATCTCGGTTATCGGAAAAATTTTTATGAAGGATGCCTCATGAGTTGAACCCCTCTGACAAGTCATACCGAATGACCGTGACTGAGTTTTTTTTTCCTTGTACACACTGGAGGAACATTTGTGAGATCTTGTGGTTGGTAGAGAGTGGTGGGGTCCTTGCGTACATCTTGCACATGTTCCTCGCAGGATCTCTCAAAGAAAAGTAGATTGCACAGCCAAAAGCAGATGTGCATGGGATAAAGATTTCAGTAGGTTATTGGTGGGACTTCAAAGCGGTATCTCTGGATACTAGCATAACGGTAAGGACTACAGTCCACTCTAACCAACCTCACAACATGGATGACGTCACGCTTGAATTCTTCAAAAATACTCAATTTTTCTCTACCGCTCGGCAATGCGAAGACCGCATGTTAGGATCAGGCCACACCAAAAGATCGTGGATCTTGATCTGAGAATGCGACCATACCCAGCTTATTCATCAAAGTTAGCAGTCTCTAACTACTACCTTTTTTGATCCCTACCGCATCCTTAAGAAGGCAAAAATTCCGAAAATCGACGTCTACTCAAAAATGAGGTCCACCTCTTCTTCTTATCATAGTTGCCGTAGTTCTATAAGAATGGAAATGAGAAGCTGTGCAAAAGAAGGGCACTAGTCCTAGTCCTTAGTGGTGATTACCTTGTAGATTGGAGATGTCTTTTAGTGACTGAAAATTTAGTCCGAAAAATTGGTCAAAGTGTCGCAGGACTTTTCGAACAACCTAATATAATACCGCTCCCGTTTTGTGGTCATCGATGGTTTGAGACAGATTCTTCCGTCGCAAATCGTCCTATTGCCATAACTTCCGTAGAAACATTTCGAGGCGACTAGAAGTTGCACCAATGGATAGCTCAGACCATGGCGAAATTTGATGCACTAAGAAAAACTTTCCATCGATTTTTTGGTCTTATACTGAGAAGTTCCACAAATGTCTCCCATCACGCGAGGCGCCACCAGGAGACACGACCGGTCGTGAACCCTCCGGTCCGATAAGGCTCCGATCTGAGCTCTCAAAAGTCGCAGATATCAGCTTATTCGGGAATATGAGCTTTCGCTTGATCATTCATATCGGCTTTGATGAGGTTTTGATAGAATTTAGTCCAAAAGAGAGGTACAGTACTCTCCATTGTTCTAAGCTTGTAGCCTTTCTGCACGAAATCGTCTGAACTCTCTGGGAAGTATTCAGAGTCTCTCATTGTGAAAATGGGAATCGGCTCCAGCTCTGAGTGGTTCTATCGTTATTCTCTCTTGAACGTGGAAGTATCCTTTCATTCTATAAACCAGTAACTTTGTGTGTCGGTTTGTATGTTTGTATGTATGTAGTTTGTAGGTATGTATGTATGTTTGTCTGTCCGTCCGCAAAATACTTCACGGGTTCGAGTTCGCTGGAGGCGAAAACGACCGCTAGGCAAACCGGTAACCGACTGGGAGGATGTAGCAGTCCAATGATTTGATTGTGATAACAGCCTCCGCTATATAAGACAACCATTCGGTACACTCCGAGCCATTGCACGAGCTGCTGGCGTGGCAGCTGGACGTGTGCTCGTGCGGGGCAGGGTGGGGTGCCGGGTCGCCCTGCCTCCCTCTCCTGCACGTGCTCAGCCGGAGCTGAGCACATGTATGGGAGGGAGGCAGAGGGGAGGGGCCCGGAAGGGGGTGCAGGGAGGGGTGCGTAGCGCGCGCTTGAGTAGAAACGAGCAGCAAAGGAGGAGGAAACAACCGGTAAGAAAACCGCTAGGCTAATCCATGTTACCGTTACGAATTGAAAAGTTGTTTTGGTCATAATAACACTTTCCACTATATAAGAGGACCACCACACTCCGAGCCATTGCACGGGTTTCTCGTGTGGTAGTTGTAGTGAGCGCGCGCAAGGGGCAAGATGGGGAGGGAGTGGCGAGTACGGAAAGGGATGAGGTGAGGAAGGTGGGAGTGGGTACCGAGTGACCTCTTCTCACTCCCTTGCGCGTGCTCAGTCGGATCTGAGCCCATGCAGGGGAAGGAGGCATATGGATTGAATCGGGCAAACTGGGTACAGTAAGGGGATGCGTAGCGTACGCTTGAATAGGAGCAGGCGGCAAGAACCGCTAGCAAAACTGCAAGCTAATCCATGTTACAGCAACGAACTAAGAAGTTGTTTGGATTGTGAATCGCTCCCGCTATCTAAGCCAACCACTGTGATAGACTCTGTGCTATTGCAGGAGCTGCTCGCTTGGGAGCTGGACGTGAGCACGAGCAAGGCGGTGGTAAGAACAGTGGCGGCGTAGTGTCCCTATGTTGCACCAGCTGGCGGCTGCATACCACGTGCGGGAGTGGGCGCCGGTTAAATAGGGTCAGTGGGATATGATGTGGTGAGGGGGATACCAGATGAGAACGGCGATTTCGCGATTAGGAGCACATAGCGCCTGCGGCGGTAAGGCGTCTACGGTTGCGATAAGATGAGAAGAAAATGGATCGACCGCAATCGGAACTGAACCGATTAATGTTGCATTATCAAATTGTGGTAGCGTTTTGATAGTCATAACACCCTCCACAACATAACACAACCATTTAGTGCACTCAGAACCATTGCACGGGCTATTCGCGTAGCAGCTGAGCGTGACCTGTAGGGTGGCTGAGCGGGGAATAGCTGAGGTTAGTTTGGGGATAGGTGAGGTGAAGGGGTACCATACGCGACCGACGCTCGCCTGAACAGGAGCACGCAGCGACTGCGGAGACCGAAGCATCCATGGCTGTCATAAGATGGGGAGGAGAGTAATCGATTATCCATGACCAGATTTTGAACTTTTCATTATGAAAGTGCCCTGCGATCATATGGCGCGTTCTACATTTATTTGATTAGAAGACAGCGGTTAGTCACCATGAGAGCATCAGACAGTAGTATCGCCCTGCTTATGCCTTACTTTGCTCCTTTCTTTCACGAGCTAAGAAGTGAGGCTCTAAAGCAGTTGCATGAGCCCGGCGAAGCCGGGCTTCCAAGAAGGAGGAGAGCTCGGCGTTAGCCGGGCGATCCGACTGGTACCACATAATATTGCATTTGCTTACGATTTTTCGAAGAAGTGACATCATGCAAAGTGGCACTCAGCTGACTTTTCATAATTTGTGAAAAGTTGGCAATTAATTTAACCAAATACAGAAGCCTGTCACATGATCAGGCGTAAGTTTACGTACTGCCCTCTTAATCACTGGATACTCGTCAAAATCTGCAAGTCGTGAGATCGAGAGCAACATTCTGAATTATCCTCCCAGGAAAGAATAACGAGGAAACCACTCGGAGGTGGAACCGCCGAATTCATGATAGGAGACCCTGAACACTTGCCAAAATGTTTTGACTGACTCGTTTCACCTAAAAAGTACGGGTGCAATGGTGGATAATTGTATCTTCCTACAATTATCCACCATTGCACCCGTACTTTTTTCTGAAACCTTGTCAAAGCAGGAACCTAATCAATAAGAGAATGTGCTATTCCCAAATATAACGATATCTGCGCCTGTCGAGAGCTCGGACTGGGTGCCCTGATCGGAGTGAAGGGTTCACAACGCAGTTGTTTTTCCAAGCGTCACCGCACGTAAGCCTCAACTGTGGAATTTTTCAGGGATATGTCCAAGATAATGATGGAAAGTTAAATCTTCACAGAAGGTGAGATTCGCTATGGTCTTAGCTATCCATTGGTGCAATTTTCAGTTGCTTCCAGCTATTTCTACAGAAGTCACGGCAATACGATGGTATGCCGCAATCTGTCACAAGCCGTTCATTGGCCATAAATTACATAGGAGCAAATCAGGGGTACGGTCTGGCGCCAAGCCAGCAGGTTTCCCGCCATTTGTTGGCGTTTGCCCTTTCAGCGTTTGAAGGGGAACGGACTGGAGTTGTGCCAAGTCAGCTGACACGCCCATGAGTCCGAAGAGCGATATTGTAACAGTGACTCAATACACATAAAAACGACAGTGCAGTCATATCCGAGTGGAAGCGGACTATCGCATGGATGGGATTGTTCCTATAGAACCGCTCCTCGTTGGTGGACCTCATTTCTGAGTCAGAACAAAGGGAACGGAGATCTCGCGCTAAGAGTGTGATTAGAAGGTTTCTGAGTGCACGGTGTAGAAAACTGTTCAAGACTTACAGAATTCGAATAGCCAAGCCAAAGGAAGAATTCGCTGATAAGCTTGAAGGCACTGGAAGAGCTGACAGACGTGGCAAACACTTCAATCAGGTACATGACGAAGAACGGCATCCAACAAATAATGAAACCTGAAATTTGCAGATTTTATCATATCTTTTTCATCTCATTTCTCATCTATATGGCTGGAGCTTTTTCATCGTTCTGCTTTTTTAGCTGAGATGCATGCAGAACGCGCAGAGAAGTTTATCATTATGCACAAACTCAACTGTGCCCCACTGTTGCTATGGCATCATTGGCTACCGCCAGTTGTCAACCATCAGAGATATTATTATATTTTGCTGCTATGTTGAGAACGCTTAACAACAGGGATCCAGTGTTGGAATGTGGTGACGGTCACTGTTCGTCAAAATTTATTCTAAATGCTTCGACGAAGCTTCAGTGACTTTTGGCGTGAGAAATTCCGAATTGTCATGATTGGTATTTTTTATATATCGACGAGTTAGGTTACATGCAGGTTTTGAGGACAAATATTCAGCTGATAAATCAAGCCTTAGTCTTCAAATCTCGAAGTTTTTATTGAAATGGGGTAATATCAGTTGGAGTGATCTACTATACCGCATAACAACAATACCAATCAGTTTTGACGTGCTTTTCAGTTCTCCTCAGATAGCAACCATCCTTCTCGTTTTGAACCTCGTAAGCGGCTTTTCCTGGTCCCAACTGGATATGATAGTGCTCATTAGCCTTGAAGAGAAAATTCGTTAGAATAAGGTAATGCATCAGACTTGGTGAGTATCACAAACCTTAGCAAGTAAGTTATTCGGTTGTAATCGAGCATGTGCAGCTTGTGCTCGTCGTGTCATTGACGGTGCTTCTGAGTTACCTTCTGTACTTTTTCGTTTCGGAGGGACCTGTAAGCCATAGTTAATATTCAGGATAGCAGCTATACTTAACACCTTCACTTTTTCAATGATGCCATTCACTGTTTTTTATAAAATAAGCTAGTAATTATTCTTGCTTGATGCCCGTTGGTTGTTTCCCCTTGTGTCATTGTACATAGGAAGTTCGGAGTCAGCCAGCGAAATCTCTCCATCGGCAAGGAAGAAGGTGTGCGAGTTGACTCTTCTTAATTACCCTACTGACTGTAAGTACAGACCCTAGTTCGGGATATCCGGATGTTTTCGCCGGCCGCGGTAAAAGCAGCTATTTTCCTGGCCATCAAGCGGGGATTTGTGAAATCTTGCCAAGCAGTAGAACCGTACCACTGGAAGTTTGTGGAGACTACTTGTCAAATCGTAAAGCATATACTTGCCAACCCTGGAAATGCAATGAACACAGCAACGGGAAACAGCGAAAGTGCTAATCGCTTTCTCTCCGTACGGTCGCCCCCCCCCAGCCGATCTGCGCCTTACATTGTTCTTTCTCACACTTTGGGGGTTGAGGTTGACGGCACGCTTGAGAGCCATCATATCTTCGACAACGTTCAGTCAGGGCACGCCATCTTTTGTGAATGGCATCTACAACGGGGGGGGTGGGTCGTATTTGCCCGCGATGGAGGAGGGGGGGGGTCGTAAACGCATGGCCCATGTTGAAGTGGAGAGAGCGGTGATACACTGTACAAGTGAAAAAAGAAGCTCAAAAGGGACGATGTAGATGACAACAAATAGAACTAGGCACTATCGAACTATTCCTAGGCCAAGAACTAAAAAAATATTGCGGAAACTTTTTCCTCCTTCCTCACAAAAAACGTTTAGACACCTCGCCCACCAACCCTCCTCATCTGGTCTAGATAAGCAGTACTTCCAAGAATCGTTAGGGTTTTTATGAGCAGAAGCTTACTCGTTTCGTATCGAGCCTTGAGCTTGTGCAATTTATTGTTGAGCTTTTTGACTGCTTTCAAGTAGTTTGGATCTCGCAAACCCCGACCACTACTGTATAGTCGTGCCCACCCGACTTTTAGGGCAACGAAATTCGCCAATGCTCTTTTCTTGAAGCGAAAGTCTTTTGTTGATGACGGAACGAAGTTCCTTATAAGTTCATGACAGAATTTCAGGAATACATCATAGCACAAGCTGGAACTCTCAAGAGAATCAAAAATATCACGCCAGTTAACACGCATCAATTGATCACAAATGGTTTCATAATCTCCGTGGCCAAAGTCGGTCTATTTATCACTTATAACCGAACTCCTTGCACAGGACTTGCCACCCTCTTGGATTGAAAATGACATCCGCATGGCATTGGTCAGATTGTAGAAAAACGCGATCCCTACTTTACATCAGCTAAGAATAGACTGATTTGTTAGAGAAAACAATGGCGCCGAACTGTTCAAAATTGGGAAAATGAATATTGAAACATCGCAAGGAAATGAATATTCAATCAATGGAAGGGAATGGGTTGGAGAACCCAGACGTTTGCGCTCAAATTATGATACCTGCAGTGTTCAAAAGTAGCGTGCAACAGGCGTTCGCCGCCACCCTATGTTGTTCCTGTAACCAAATTTGCGGGCTCTCTCCCATAAGATGCCAGGAAGATTGAAATCCCCAACAATAACCACAGGGGACTTATTTTGACTTAGCTCCTCCAAGTAATTGACGAACTCTCTAAAGCTCTCAATGGAAGAAGAAGGGCTGCGGTATGAAACAACCAAAATGGCACATAACGAAGAAACTGTGATTTGAATGGTCAAACATGATATAAGATGAGAAATTCATCGAAGAAAGCAAAACGGTTTGGATCGAATTGTGAATGAGGGCGAGGACTCCCCCTCCCAATATTTCTCCTTCTCGGTCGCAGCGAAACACTTGGTAAGGCAGACCCGCTGATATAGTGGAGTCGTGTATAAGGTGGGGCTTACACCAAGATTCTGTAACCAAGACGGCTTTGGGATTAGTGAGGAGGAGATTCTGTAGCTCAGGAAGCTTATTATTAATTGATCGTGCATTTAGCAAAATGAATCTATCGTTATATTCGAAAGAGATCTGGTTTCCCCGCGGAGGGGGACTCGACTGAGTAGAAACCTGGCCCTAGAAGCCTATCCCAGGGCTTGTGTATACGTTATCAACAGTCCTCAAATCGGAGTCACGGACGATAGAGATCTGACTGGGTGTGTAGAGGCAATCCCGCAAAAGACGTACTCCCGGGGTCTGTCTGTGGTGACTCACGCCTAGCGGAGCCATTAGAAGAGGCATCGTTACTTTTCCTAGCTCACGCTGGAGCCGTCGAAGCCGGATACGATCCCTTGGTTCCGCAGTTTTGTGTATCTCCAGGTCTCGAACAACATACGTAAGTTTTCCTGCTTTCCTGTTAAGCTCTCCAGCTTGCCTTCTCAAGTCCCTGTCTAGATTAAGCTCTTCCTCCGTATAGTCACGCCGAGCATAAGAGTGAACGAAATCTCTTGTAAGACTCTGCCGCCCTGACCTCATGTGAGCCAGCAACCTGTCTTTCAGAGCCCTGGTCGGTAGATCGATCTTGATAATCCGTCCCCTGGCGTTCGCTCCTCTTGGCTGACCTTGGGGATGGCGATGAAGGGTGATGCCACCCCTTGCGAACTCCGCTGCCAGTTCCGAGTCGCCTGATGTCTCTATAACCTGCTTCAATGCCTCATGGTCAAACTTACGGGTCGCGATTTCGTCCTTTTGGCTCGCCCCCAAAAAAAGAATAACCCAATCCAGGCGTGATCCCTGGCGGAGGCTTGTCTTCGATTTTGGTTTCATTCGGCCCGGACTTTCACGACCGTTGAATACAAGGCGCTTTGGGACATAGGGGTGGGAGTCTCCATTGCCTCAAGTGTTGCTTCCACTGCACTGAAGGTTAGAAGATATTGTGCGCTGAATTCATCTACCTTAGCGATTTTCACATCACAGTCCTTCTCCAACCGACTGATAGTCAAAGCCTTTTCAATCCGTTCACTGCACAACTCATACTTTTCAATCATCTTCGTAGCCCCAAAGTGGCATGTCCTGACTAGTGAAAGAAGCATCATCCTGGACCGACTTTCTTTTGCTACCCCCTTGCCATAGTAGTCAATCAATAAAATCGAAATGGGTTGGTCTGGAGCCGGGTGAGGGCGGCAAAAAAAAATTTCCCCCTTAACGAAGAAAGAAGGTGATATAGATTCCCTTAGTCTATAGCAAAGATAGTACTGGAAGATTGTAAATGACTTGCAAACAGCAACAAAAAACGTCACCGATTTGTGAAGGAAGTAGAAGAATATAGTGAAGTAGAAAGTTGAGATAACGCAGCCGCACAGCGAGAAGTACTCGCGAAGAGTGAAGTGGGTCTCGTGAAAGTTTTCCATGAGAGGGAGGGCCAGTCGGACTTGTGGGGTCCCAGGTGAGAAGTTTTCCATGTGAAGGAGGGCCAGTCGGATCGGCCAGCTTTGCCGACCGATCCTCCTTCCGCGCGTGAAGTGGGTCCCGGTGAGAAGTTTTCCCTGAGAGGGAGGGCCAGTCGGATCAGTGGGTCCCGGTGAGAAGTTTTCCCTGAGAGGGAGGGCCAGTGGGATCAGTGGGACCCGGTGAGAAGTTTTCCCTGAGAGGGGTGGCCAGTGGGATCTGTGGATCCCGGTGAGAAGTTTTCCCTGAGAGGGAGGGCCACTCGGATCGCTGGGACCCGGTGAGAAGTTTTCCATGTGAAGGAGGGCCAGTCGGATCGGCCAGCTTTGCCGACCGATCCTCCTTCCGCGTGTGAAGTGGGTCCCGGTGAGAGGTTATCCCTGAGAGAGGGGGCCAGTGGATCGGTGGGTCCGGTGAGAAGTTTTCCATGAGAGGGAGGGCCAGTGGGATCGGTGGGACCCGGTGAGAAGTTTTCCCTGAGAGGGAGGGCCAGTCGGATCGGCCAGCTTTGCCGACCGATCCTCCTTCCGCATGTGAAGTGGGTCCCGGTGAGAGGTTTTCCCTGAGAGGGAGGGCCAGTCGGATCAGTGGGTCCCGGTGAGAGGTTATCCCTGAGAGAGAGGGCCAGTGGGATCGGTGGGACCCGGTGAGAAGTTTTCCATGAGAGGGAGTGCCAGTGGGATCAGTGGTCCCGGTTGACAGAGAGTTATCCCTGAGAGGGGTGGCCAGTGGGATCTGTGGATCCCGGTGAGAAGTTTTCCCTGAGAGGGAGGGCCAGTCGGATCGCTGGGACCCGGTGAGAAGTTTTCCATGTGAAGGAGGGCCAGTCGGATCGGCCAGCTTTGCCGACCGATCCTCCTTCCGCGTGTGAAGTGGGTCCCGGTGAGAAGTTTTCCATGAGAGAGGAGGGCCAGTGGATCGGTGGGACCCGGTGCCGAAGTTTTCCATGAAGGGAGGGCCAGTGGATCGGTGACCGGTGAGAAGTTTTCCCTGAGAGGGAGGGCCAGTCGGATCGGCCAGCTTTGCCGACCGATCCTCCTTCCGCATGTGAAGTGGGTCCCGGTGAGAAGGTTTTCCCTGAGAGGGAGGGCCAGTGGGATCAGTGGGTCCCGGTGAGAAGTTTTCCCTGAGAGGGAGGGCCAGTGGGATCGGTGGGACCCGGTGAGAAGTTTTCCCTGAGAGGGAGTGGCCAGTGGGATCAGTGGGTCCCGGTGAGAAGTTATCCCTGAGAGGGGTGGCCAGTGGATCTGTGGATCCGGTGGAAGTTTCTCCTTCCTGAGAGGGCAGGGCACTCGGATTCGTCTGGGACCCGGTGAGAAGTTTTCCATGTGAAGGAGGGCCAGTCGGATCGGCCAGCTTTGCCGACCGATCCTCCTTCCGCGCGTGAAGTGGGTCCCGGTGAGAGGTTACATCGAGAGGGAGGGCCAGTTGGAATCGGCTGGACCCCGTGGAGTTATCTGAGAGGGAGGGCGCAGTGGGATACTGCTCAGGTACCCCGGTGAGAATTGTTCACTGAGAGGAGGCCAGTCCGCTAGTGGTCCTTGGTGAGAGTTTTCCCTGAGTGAGGGGGCGCAGTGGGATCAGTGGGTCCCGGTGAGAAGTTTTCCCTGAGAGGGAGGGCCAGTGGGATCGGTGGGACCCGGTGAGAAGTTTTCCATGTGAAGGAGGGCCAGTCGGATCGGCCAGCTTTGCCGACCGATCCTCCTTCCGCGTGTGAAGTGGGTCCCGGTGAGAAGTTTCCCTGAGAGGGAGGGCCAGTGGGATCGGTGGGTCCCGGTGAGAAGTTTTCCCTGAGAGGGAGGGCCAGTCGGATCAGTGGGTCCCGGTGAGAAGTTTTCCCTGAGAGGGAGGGCCAGTGGGATCTGTAGGTTCCGGTGAGAAGTCTTCCCTGAGAGGGAGGGCCCGTCGGATCAGTGGGTCCTGGTGAGAAGTTTTCCCTGAGAGGGAGGGCCAGTCGGATCAGTGGGTCCCGGTGAGAAAGTTTTCCCTGAGAGGGAGGGCCAGTGGGATCAGTGGGTCCCGGTGAGAAGTTTTCCCTGAGAGGGAGGGCCAGTCGGGATCAGTGGGACCCGGTGAGAAGTTTTCCATGTGAAGGAGGGCCAGTCGGATCGGCCAGCTTTGCCGACCGATCC